AAGTGACATCATGTGATTTTTAGTAAATAATCATATTTATATATACAAAGCCTACTACATATATGTGTACATGCGTACTTTTAAGTCAACTAACCATCATATTGCATATCAAAATTTGTTTAAAAGACTGTCATTACTATTAAAATTGCTGATACGCATTAGTTGGAATCCGAAATTTTATAATAAATTTATCATATCCTATGCTTAGTTTGAAATTAGTAAATAGACCTCGCATATATATATGTGGAAATAAAACTTACTGCTACATGTTACTGAGGCGATTTATTAGATATTCTTAATCTGCAAAACTCGTAGTTGTTGCGAGTATTTCACGAGGTGATTCCGGAAGGCTCCGAGTATATTTTAGAATTTACGATTACTTATGACAGGTCTTGACTTATAGACTAAAATTCCGATTAGATTGTCAGGTCCCTCTATTAATCAAAGAAATATCGCTTCTTTCTCTTGTAAGAAAATTTCTACATCACGTCTGTCGCGAGTATAATTCGGGAGCTGTTCTCGATTAAGCTAGAGATGGAAAATTTGGACTTGCTTATGGTGTCTTTGAATTCATTTAAAAAATTTCTATTTTTAGATTATTGTTGTATTCTACGGATTATTTGACAAAGTTGCGTTCCTTTGGTTTTCGGTAAGTGTTTGTTAGATAATAAGTATTATTAGGTATGTGAAGTTGGCTTGTACATTGTACATCGTAGTTCAGCTAGTAATTCGCCAATATTTGAATTACTAGCTAGTAGATGGGTATTCAGCGTGTAGTTCGAAACAAACAAACTAACATACATAATATTTGAATTACTAGCTAGTAGATGGGTATTCAGCGTGTAGTTCGAAACAAACAAACTAACATACATAATATTTGAATTACTAGCTAGTAGTTGGGTATTCAGCGTGTAGTTCGGACCAAACACACCAGCATACACAATATTTGAATTACTAGTTAGTAGATCGGTATTCAGCGTGTAGTTCGGAACAAATACACCAGCATACACAATATTTGAATTACTAGCTAGTAGATCGGTATTCAGCGTGTAGTTCGGAACAAATACACCAGCATACACAATATTTGAATTACTAGCTAGTAGATCGGTATTCAGCGTGTAGTTCGGACCAGACACACTAACATACATAATATTTGAATTACTAGCTAGTAGATGGGTATTCAGCGTGTAGTTCATACCAAATACACCGGCATACACAATATTTGAATTACTAGCTAGTAGATCGGTATTCAGCGTGTAGTTCGGACCAGTCACACTAACATACATAATATTTGAATTACTAGCTAGTAGATGGGTATTCAGCGTGTAGTTCGAAACAAACAAACTAACATACACAATATTTGAATTACTAGCTAGTAGATGGGTATTCAGCGTGTAGTTCGGAACAAACCCACTAGCATACACAATACTTGAATTACTAGCTAGTAGATCGGTATTCAGCGTGTAGTTCAAAACAAACAATCTAACATACATAATATTTGAATTACTAGCTAGTAGATGGGTATTCAGCGTGTAGTTCACACCAAATACACCGGCATACACAATATTTGAATTACTAGCTAGTAGATCGGTATTCAGCGTGTAGTTCGGACAAGTCACACTAACATACATAATATTTGAATTACTAGCTAGCAGATGGGTATTCAGCGTGTAGTTCGGAACAAACCACTAGCATACACAATATTTGAATTACTAGCTAGTAGATGGGTATTCAGCGTGTAGTTCGAAACAAACAAACTAACATACACAAATATTGAATTACTAGCTAGTAGATGGGTATTCAGCGTGTAGTCTGGAACAAACCAACTAGCATACACAATATTTGAATTTCTAGCTAGTAGATCGGTATTCAGCGTGTAGTTCGAAACAAACAAACTAACATACATAATATTTGAATTACTAGCTAGTAGATGGGTATTCAGCGTGTAGTTCGGACAAAGACACACTAACATACAAAATATTTGAATTACTAGCTAGTAGATGGGTATTCAGCGTGTTGTTCGGACCAAATACACCATCATACACAATATTTGAATTACTAGCTAGTAGATCGGTATTCAGCGTGTAGTTCATACCAAATACACCGGCATAACACAATATTTGAATTACTAGCTAGTAGATCGGTATTCAGCGTGTAGTTCGAAACAAACAAACTAACATACATAATATTTTGAATTACTAGCTAGTAGTTGGGTTTTTCAGCGTGTAGTTCGGACCAAAATACACCAGCACACACAATATTTGAATTACTAGCTAGTAGATCGGTATTCAGCGTGTAGTTCGGACCAGACACACTAACATACATAATATTTGAATTACTAGCTAGTAGATGGGTATTCAGCGTGTAGTTCGGAAACAAACCCACTAGCATACACAATATTTGAATTACTAGCTAGTAGATCGGTATTCAGCGTGTAGTTCGGACCAAATACACCATCATACCCATCTACTAGCTAGTAATTCAAAATATTATGTATGTTAGTGTGTTGGTCCGAACTACACGCTGAATACCGATCTACTAGCTAGTAATTCAAATATTGTGTATGCTGGTGTATTAGTTTTGAACTACACGCTGAATACCGATCTACTAGCTAGTAATTCAAATATTGTGTATGCTAGTGGGTTTGTTCCGAACTACACGCTGAATACCGATCTACAAGCTAGTAATTCAAATATTATGTATGTTAGTTTGTTTGTTTCGAACTACACGCTGAATACCGATTTTACTAGCTAGTAATTTCAAATATTATGTATGTTAGTTTGTTTGTGTTTCCGAACTACACGCTGAAATACCGATCTACTAGCTAGTAATTCAAATATTGTGTATGTTAGTTTGTTTGTTCCGAAACTACACGCTGAATACCGCATCTACTAGCTAGTAATTCAAATATTGTGTGTATGTTAGTTTGTTTGTTTCGAACTACACACGCTGAATACCGATTTACTAGCTAGTAATTCAAATATTGTGTATGCTAGTGTTGTTTGTTCGAACTACACGCTGAATACCCATCTACTAGCTAGTACTTCAAATATTATGTATGTTAGTGTGTCTGGTCCGAACTACACGCTGAATACCGATCTACTAGCTAGTAATTCAAATATTGTGTATGCTGGTGTATTTGTTATGAACTACACGCTGAATACCGATCTACTAGCTAGTAATTCAAATATTGTGTATGCTGGTATTTTTGGTCCGAACTACACGCTGAATACCCAACTACTAGCCAGTAAATCAAATATTATATATGTTAGTTTGTTTGTTTCGAACTACACGCTGAATACCGATCTACTAGCTAGTAATTCAAATATTGGCGAATTACTAGCTGAACTACGATGTACAATGTACAAGCCAACTTCACATACCTAGTATTATTTTAGTTATCCAAATTAATGAATAATTTATTCAATGTCAGTTTTATTTTCTATTTGATAAAGATGTAAAATACAAAGACGATTTGAAATATGATCAATTTGTATTAATCCATACTGATATTCGTGGATGTTTTACGTAAAACATATTTTTTTATCAAAACATATGGCAACCAGATATTTTAAAACATCACCCGTATATAGGCTAAAAATCTTGGTTGACCCGAGTTCGAACACAGCATATTTATTTCTGATCGAAATAGTATAATGTAGAATTATTATTGCAAAAAACGTATATAGGGTAAATTTGTGTCTATTTGAAGGGGTGGGTGTGATAATAATACTTTTCAATTTTAGAAATATTCTACCTATGTTATTTAAGGTACAATTTTATAGATTTTAGTAAAGGAATATCATATTATATTTTTTAAATAAATTCAATTAAAATTCTGTACATTGAATTTTTATTTAGATAAATTTTCACATTCTGAATGGATTGAAGAGATATTTAATGTTAAGCATATTATTTTAATATAAGAATGTGACATAAGATTATATTTTTTCCCTCAGGACGGACTGTCTTTGTGGTTAAAATTGTAAAGCATGCATGAAAACGCTTGGAAAAAAATTCATTAGCACAAAAAGGGTATTTAGAAGAAGAAGTTTATTCCCTGGACACCTAAGATTAATGTCTCTCGACCAGTCTTGCTAAAGTTATAATTTTCCGACGATCATTTGTACGTTCAACCTCTAATTATTTTAATATTATTGTCAACTCGCGTAATTATATAATGTTTTTAGACGGCACGCGACCGCAGTAAAGGGGTGAGCATTAAAAAAATGATAAATTGTACCATAGGAGCCACGAAATGTTTTTTTGTAAGTCGAACTTGGAGACCGGCCTTGGATAATTTGAAAATCGTTTGAAACTGTCTGAGGATATCGGCGAATATTCCCCCCAAACAAATGTCTTTAATCTTTGGTAATTTAATAATAAAGTTAAACTAATTTGCGAACTTTCTTAAAAGTTTGATGGGATTTTAATTACAAAGTAGCATTTTGGGAATTATTTTAATGTCAAAACTATTCAAAAGTGTGACATTGACAATTCTAAAAGCCAAAGACGGATTAAAACGTCGTTAATTATCAATTTGATTATTATATGAATAAAAAAATAAATGAGCTAATGGCCCAAAATTTTCAAAAGTTCAAGTTTTATAGACAGAGATCAAGTAAAAACGTTTAACACTAAGAAATATTAAAATAAACAAAGCATTAATTCAATGTTTAATAAAAGTTTAGACTATCTGATCTTTAAAAAGCTAGGAAATCCCGGATATATCATTTAGTATTTACATTTTCTTTTATAATAAAAACACAATGCCATTTTTTTAAAGTTTAATAAATTATTTTTTTACTAACTTGAAAGTAAAACATATACGAGTAAATCCTTGACTATATTTAATTTTAATCTAAAACATAATTATCCACTTTTCGTATATAAGGAATAATTTCACACATGAAAACAAAACGAAAAATCAAAATAAATATTAGTATTATCATAATTCTTACATTTAAATCTCTTTATTTTTATTTTTAGAACATAAAAATTGCGGTTTTTCGCAAAATACAAGTTACAAGGCCTTCGCAATATCGCCTAGATCCGATAACGTTATCTTGACAGCTCGTGATGGATGGCAGTTTGCATCGTAAATTAAACCCGGTTGGCTAATTTCAGTCACGTGGTGTACAGATATGTAAAACTGGGGGCGGGACTTAACCACCAGCGTTTACGTTATAGTGTGAATAGACCAGAACTCGTTTATTTACAACCAAATCTACGATTATTAATGATCATGAGTTCTTTTTTAATGAACCCGGCTTCTTATACAGAGCCGAAGTTTCCACCTAGTGAGGATTATTCTCAGTCGAATTATATGCCGCCTCAAAATTCGGACTATTATCGACATAATATTCATAATTTCGGATACGGGCCGGCGGATTATAGACGGTATGATATAGAGGAGAAATTTTCACCTAACAGTGTATATAACGCAACGAGTGTTTCCTGTACAAGTGACAGTATTAATAAAAGACTTCATCATCAAAATCATCATCCTCAGCAACAATCGCCTCCGCAGGCTCATGTACAATCACCGAATTCCACAAACACAGGAACTAATTCATCTGTTATAAACACAAACAGTGCTAGTAATAACAATAACAGAGTTAATGGATTTACGCCAACCAGTTCCGGTACGGAGCCCGAGTCTCCCGATGCGTCAGGAAGCCCTCAGTCCGTCCCGTCACCAGGGAGCCAGGGGTCACCTGATTCGGCGTGTTCAAAAGAACAAGGGGGGCAGCCCGTTATTTATCCCTGGATGAGAAAGTCACAGAGCGGCAATGCCACAAGTGGGAACTCAGGTATGTATCAATAACCATTTACCTTCTTTATAAACTAATCCTTAAATATATATAAACATGAAAACGTCAACATTTAAACCTAATTTAAGTGGTAATGACATTTCTTTTAAAGGTTTGAATCGTTAAGGAACGCCTTTTGAATTTCATTGTGTTCATATGCACTTTCTAAAACTCTTTTATACCAATGTAAAGATATAAAGTACAGCAATAATGTTCCTTTCACTTTCATACACCCTACAACCTAAGACAGATAAAAATTTAAACTTTAAAGGTTTAATATGATACACGGAACCCAACTGATCAAGTATAATAAATGCATGTTTAGTAAAATCTTAAAAACTAAAACGGTTTGATATAAATACTACTTTCAACCTGTATGGCACCGCATAAAATGTTTTGTTATTTAATCAGATTCAGAGTGTGATATTGTTTATTTAAACACAAAATTATTTTCAAATATATTTAATATTGTATTCTAAATGCATGTATTAGTTGATGTGTCAAAAGTAGGTCTATAAATTTCTGTCGGAGAATGTAATATGTAAATAACCCATAGTATTTAAAAATGGTTTTACTTACAAAAAAACTCTAATAATCATATTTGATTATCTTTACAGAGTCTATGATTTTTGTTTTTATATAAAATGAATCATTATCTCACAAACAATAACATTGATAACATAACATTGATTTTACTGAATTGTCACTTTTTTCGATCTTCTAGTTTCATGTACTAAAACACGTCCTTTTTACATTTCAACATTCAAAGTATCACTTGATGTCACACCTCAATAAATCCGCATTTATAATAATCAATTAAAAATTCATAAGGATAGACGGTGCGTCATAAATGAATCCGAAAAATGAATGAATTGTTGAATAAACAATGCAATATCAATTCAACAAAATACCATACATTTCTAACCTGTATCGAAAAGTTGTTACAATACGAACTACATAAATAGTATTAACTTGTTAATAATTAAATTAAATTCAATACTTCTATTGAAGGTAGCTGTAATTAGATATAATTGTTTCATTTTACTATCCGATTTTTTGAAAATAATATCCGAAAGTGTAAGTGTTTGGCCTTGTATCGATAATTAAATCGAAATGTTTCTGGCAGCGAAAATATTGTAAATAAGCGATTACATGTATTTTGCTATTTTCTATAATTATGCATCTGTTTCTATATTTATATATATAATAGATTAGATCAATATTAGGTATGTGTGTATAATAGATGATTATATCGTTGAAAAATATAAAAGCAAATGTTACCGGCCTTCTGGCTTAATTCAAGTACAATGCATTATTTATGTGTATATTTTTCTCTGTTTATCTTAACTATACAGCTAATATGCCCCGTTACAGAATTGTTTCTCATAGATTTACAAAATTGCACGGAGAATAAAAATACATATACATGTACATCACTAAAAATGAATTTACATATTTTATGGATGGCTTAACGAAATATATTTATCTAAACTTGATCGACCGTAACTATATATATTTTCATTCATACATTAAATATTACATGCGGCGGGGGAAATCAAATATTATGTTACATTTAATACGTTATTAAATCAAATGAATTTGTCTGAATGTATGAAACAGGATGAACGCAACCATCGATTGATCTATTTTAAATCGAATCAAAACGGGATATCTTGTCCTTCAACTATATATCTAAATCTTAAAGTCTGATTTTATCTAATGACTAGATGCAGTTATTTATTTCAAAACGATGTCCCAGTCATGGACATTTTTTGATAAACATTTGTAAAACATTAAACAGTAATAGGAAGGCCATAAATTCAATGGTCTAAAAATTTCAAGAATCATTTACATGTGTTTTCCCTGCATAACTTATGCCATAAAGACACTGTCCCTGAACACTTGACTCCAAAAAAGACTTGAATCGATAAAATTCAGACAAAATATTCTCTAAAATGATTGTTTATTTTTCATTGTTTATTTTCTAATATTAAGGACCATTTCACATATAAACAACACCTTTTTATTTACATAATGATTCTAATTGTTTGAAGGTACAAATGCCCTGCCCAAAAGCATGATGGGAAATCACAAATGCTTTAGTTCTCTTTTAATGCTAACTGTATAATATCATTTTTTGACATTTTCGTACTTTAATCATTTAAAATTCTATAAAAATACTACTAAATTTCAAATATTCAATTAAAGTATGATACATTTTTTATAAAAAGAATTTTGTTACACCATTGGCGAAATAACATAAATCCGTAATAGTGTCTTTGTTATTTATAAACACACAGATTTACATACAACGGTGTGCCCCAGCTGGAAACTAAAAATGAAAAACATGAATAGGTCGTTAAAAGTAAATTAGCATACTAAAACTTTTAGACATAAATAATTTCATTGTGTGTGAATCATATAATAAAGTATAACAAATTTGAAATACGATTATGTATTTTGTGTACATTATGGTTTATTATTTTGTCCTTAATATCTCAAATTGTCTTACATTTTAAGAGACTACATTTAAACTGTAGCAAGAACACGCCTTTTTAGAATGCATATTTCACTGAATTGTTGCATATAAAAGCAAACTTTCTGACAATACTTAATTACAAATGGGAACCATAATACGTGTAGATGACCCATGTACTCACAACTTTTTGAAAGGGAGTAAAATGTAAACTTTTTTTGGTTACTTTAGATTTACCGTATGACATTCGAATGAATAGTGCATTAAATAATGCAAAACAATGCATTAAACAAAATGACAATGAAATCGAAAACATGTATGTCAAACAAATGCGCGAGATTTCCATGCAACTTTGTTGCATTACCTTGGATATTGCCTAAATAAATGATAATAAGTTGATAAATAAAGTATTATGAAATTATTTTTTTTCTTTTTATCGCTATTTTTTTCAAACTTCAAAGGCCATATTCATAAAATCTTCATAACGTTATCTTCATATCTTCCATACGTCATTAGCTAGTTTAACCACCATTTTGACAACTGACCCGTGCGAATCTTATTTCACATAATTCACAAATGTATTTTTTTCAGAGATATTGCTATCTACTTTTGAAAATGAATTGCATTTTAATTATTCACACAGCGTCTCTCAGCCATCATCCCATTATGATCTCAATAATGTTTTTTGTACATATTAATGTTAATGATGCTCTCTTTTATTACCTCCCTTTAATACTGAATTATCAGTATTAAATTTAAACCATAAAACTTCGAGCAAAGCGAATCTATACAGACAATAGTAAATTGTTTTTGAAAAGGGCTTTCGAAGCAAATGCGTATAATGTTTGAAACGTTTTCATATATAGTTGATATTGAATGCATCAAGACCAGTTTTTTTTTAAAGTTTTTACACGCTTTAGCCCTTATACACTTTAGCCCAGAATTCATTTGCACTGGTATAAAGGTCGGGGCGAAAATTGCACAAGATTAAACAGGAATATAGATTTTCACTATTTTGATGTCTTTGATGCAGTTTTACTGTCGCTTAATTGATATTGTAGACGACATATTACAGTCAAATTAAAATTAATAACATCTCTCGAGTGTTTATAAAACACATATCTAGGTCAGCTTTTAAAATACGTATCTTTACATGATATTGTTAACGGTTTCAATATAAAACCATTGCAACGTCAAACTTCATCAGAATTTATTAGATTTTCCAACTCGCAGTTAGACGCCCTATCAAATTTACTGCGATCACCGGTCTTGTCAATTACGACTTCAAAACACAAATTTTATTAATTTAGAATACACTTTTGTGCATGTCGGGAAAGATGCTCGATCTATCTTCATTAGACTGTATGATAATTAGCTCTGGCATAAATAACGGTTTACGGCCAATTTTGTAAAACGATATTATGAAATTATGCACGTGGTTAATATAAAACACATCAAAACGTCATTACCAATTACGCGGTAAATACATCAGAATATACTCTGGAAGGTTGATAAATTATTTTTCAATATATTTCTAGCCGGCAAAAAGTACCATGGTGTTGAGAAGTGTTACGATGGATTGATTTCAAATTTTCTTTGATGCACAGTCGCACAGTCTACCTTAGTGCAGTTGATTTGCTGAAAAATGCACGAAAGGTTCAATCTAGGACACGGTGTCCTACTTTTTAAAAATAGCTCGTACTTGTTCGGAAGAATTCGGAATTATTGAATGTTTATTCAATTTTATGAAAATTGATCACTTTTCTTCCAAAATGCGTACTATAAACTTTTAGCGTATAATAAAAAAACAACATCGAACAGTTTATAGCCTGTTTAATTTCAGTATAAAGGTTCGGACAAAAACAGTCGTCTGCTTCTAGTATTCATGAATCAAAAGGCAGCACGCGCTTATATCAAACTGTTTCTAAGAGGTTGGCAATAAAGCATTTTACAGCGTTTCTGAATTTTATTGCAAGAGTACCTTAATATATGTGCAAACCGCGAATTATAAATAGTAAATACCTATACAAAGTGCCTATACCTAAAGAAATATCATTTTGTTACTTACAGAGGTTATGTGACGTCATTAATCTTCATTTTTGAGGTAAAAATAAAACTACACTCGTCTTACCAGTGGCATACCTTGTAACAGTTTCATATCAAGGGTATAAAAAACTGCATTCTCACAATAGGCATGCTAATATGAAAACGTAATCTTTCGGCAAAAAAACGTAAATTCATATATTTTACAATCTTGTTTTAAACAACATGGTTCTTGTTGTTTTTAGGTGTTTTTTTTCTATCTAAAATTGACAGCTCTTGACTTTTGACACTTTTTGTATTATCATTCAAAAAGAAATCTAAAGATAGTTTTATATTCTTAAACGCACGAATGTTTCTCGATATTTATGAAATTTAAACAATTGTTTCTTCTTTTAATTTGCCACGAGACCTCGTGAAATTCGAATTCGATAGGGGTTTTAAGTGAATAATAAGGTTAAATCCGATTTGGAAAAATAATACA